TGCCCCATACTATCATACAACAAAGCAAACATGCCTTTAGTTCAACATATAAATTCTGCATATGAACTAGTGGTGGTTGGGTAAACCACCAGGTGCTTGCATCAACTAATAAGAAAATTGATTAAATTTAATTGGATTTATCAAGTTCGAGTCTTAAATATATAGTAAAAATTAAATTCTTGATACGAGACATACTCTTAAGAATTTTTTTGTAAGTTGCTGACTAAATTAATTAGGATCAAAGACTTAGATGCTGAACTTAGCAAAAACGGTCGTTGGATAAAATAAAGAAAATTTGGTGTATGTTGAATGTGTTTGATTATTTTGGGTTAATACGTTTTTGGGTTGGAGGTGAAAGTATTAAAAGCCCATTGTGGTCCAATGGAAGTGTGGACCATGTGGACTGCACGAGAGGGAAGCGTTGCAGTGACTACAAGTAGTTGCATTCCCAAGCCCTTCTGTCACGCCTCAAGAGGCAATAAACAAGCCGGATATTAATTAGGAAAAATTAACTATTTAATTCATATAATTTTAATTCAATTGAAATTTAATACTTGAACTTTACTTTTTATAACTCAATATTTAAAATTTTGATTTAATCATAACCCAATTTTTTAAATTTTGCAACTCAATTCTTATATTTTTAATCATTTAAAATATTAATCCCTATATTTTTAAAAAATAAAAGTATAAAAATTAAAATTATATTTAAATTTATAATTAATATTTTAAATTACTAAAACCTTTTAATCTTTAGAGAGAATGTAACTATTAAAAGTTTAAAATATTTTTAATCTCTATAATTTAATTTTTAAAAATATAGGAATCAATATTTAAATAATTGATCAAACTATAGAGGTTGAGTTGCAAGAGTCAAAATTAAAAAATTGAATTACAATTAAATTAAAAACATAAAAATTATAAGAACTGAATTACAATGAGTTAAAATTTAGAGATTGAGTCATAATTGGATCAACACTATATGAATTAAATGAGAAATTTTTTCATTAAGTATTATTATTATTTTTTAGTTCCCAAGATGTATCCACAGTTGGTATCCACAAAACTAATTGTTGGAGAAATTTGAACATCATGAGGTTGTCTTTTTGAAGCAATGCTCTTCATGCATACCTTCAGCAATTGAACTTTGAAATAGCGCTTAATTTAATTATTATTATTATTATATATATAGTAAACTTAATTTTAATGATTTTAAATTTAAAAATTATTTTAGGCGAATAGTTTCAAATAATTCTACAATGGGCACAACACATTGATTGCGATTAAAATTTGAAGTTTCTGATTTCTTTCAAATGATTGTGAAATAACCCTTATTTTTTCTTGTCCAAAAAGTGAAGAAATTAATGGTATGGTCCTCAAGTAGTAAAATTTCCATAAAGGAAGCAACAACTCTCTGTAAGGATGAAATCTTGAAATTGAAATCACTTGAACCAAGAGGTCAGATATTTTTTATTAGGTACATAATAGATGTGGTCCATAAAATAATTGTGGCAATATGTTATTTTGAAATGTACATCAGCGCATGTATCTTGTCCAGATCTGCTGGGCAAACCAGAAGTAGAAGAGAACACAATAAAACTAAACACAATTCACATTTCAAATGTTAATTGAAAAACATAAAAAATACTTCTCACAGTCTTTTTTTTTTTTTTACTCAAGCTATCCTCATAGCTTGTAGCTGTAAGACTTATCCTCCGAAAAATTTGAAGGTCATTTAAGAGATTACTTTCTTAAGAAATGCTTTTCTATACACATTTTCAAGAATCAAATCCTGGAATAATTGATGCTTAATAAATCCAAACTACTACCATATGTATTACACCCACTTAGTTCCTACTGGTGAAGTTGATTGCATTACTTTTTCGCTCTTTCTTTACAAAATTTTTTGGCGAGTTAGGTTTCATCAGGATTTGCACTATAATCAGATTATTAGGGCTGATCCGACGGGTGCTTACAATTTACAAAATACTCTATCTGGTTTTAATTATAGGCAAAAATTTTAAACTTTATTTAGCCTTAATGAAAGACAAAGATGTACTCCATTTGGTTATTAAGGCACATTTTAAAAGAGATTGGTAGTCCACCTAATTTAAAAGAGACAGGGACACCAGGGTGAGTAATGGTTTTTTTTTTTTTTTTGGGGCCAATAATAGCATCAAGTTGCAATTCCTAAGTCTAAGCACACTTTGTTGTGATAATTACTTTTAGTTTATTGTGATCATTAATTTTAGTGAAAAGGAAAATTGAAAAATCAAATATTTTTTAAAGTTTAATAATGTTTACTATCATTTATTAATAACTTTATTTTATTTTATAATTAGGACCTAAAAGAGTACTTTATCATTTGTAAAGTACTTCTAATTATGTAGTACATGACTTGTTAGAAGCAATCAGATATTGTTAACTTTGTATGAAAATATAATAAACTTTTAAGTTTACTTTTATTTAAATAATTTTTTTAAAATTTGTTTTATATTCTCTTTCATGGTTAATAAATTTAAATAGGTATAATATTATAAAAAATATACTTAATAATTAAGGACTAAAAAATTCTTTTAGAAAGCACATTAGGCTAGTATTAACTATGCGCAGCTGATACTAAGGATGAAGAACCCTGAACTTGGTCCGATCCCTCTGAGAGAGAGAGAGAGAGAGAGAGAGAGGGTGAGAGAGAGAGAGAGAGGGTGAGAGGGTGAGTTATAACAGTTTATTGAAGTGGAAGGAGGAAGAAGAAGAACAAAGAGAATGTGGGGAGAGAAGCGAAAGCAACAGGGCGAAGGAGAGAAATCAGACGGATGCACCAACCAGAGACACGAGAGAAGAAGACGAAGACGAAGACGAGTCCAATTAATATAATGGTGAGTGATTGTGGGGTTACGTACCTTGACAGAATCCATGAGCGACCACTATCAAACTATACAAACACATATATGTGTGAGAGTGATGAAGGTAACTTGACACTGCCAAATACGTATCATAATGAAGCCATAAAAAAGGTCCAGCTATCACTGATAGGGATATGCCTTTCACTGTTACCATTGTCACGCTGCTTTCCGTTTCACCCGACATCTGGATTGTCCCACATTGAGTTAAAAGGACTTTAACATAAGCTTAAACTAATCTAGATCAAAACAGGTCAGTATTCTTTCAGATAAAAGCTCTATATATATATAATCACTAATACTATTATATTTTAAAACTTAAACTCGAGATCTCTTATTAACTAGCCGGTATAACTTTCTTGCCAGTTGACATAAATATAATGTGGTTGTTCCTCTTTTAGTCTTACATGTTTACCAAAAAAATTATATATCAATCTTTCACTTACGCTATATTATATTCTATATTTAATGGTAAGTATCATAATGATAATAACTACGCAAATTTGACAAAACAAGATTTACACATTAGTGTGTTTGGATTAATCATTAACTTCTGCAAATTTAGAGTTTGCAAGCTGAAGTACTGTGAGCGAAAGTTAATCCAAGTTTGCAAACAGTTGAACAAACATGTTTTCTTAGTCTACATTAAATCAAACTACTCATGAATTAAGAGATAATAATATCATGTGTAAACGCGCCAAAAGACAGATACACATGAGTACGACAGAAGCGAGGCAGCAGATAAGGCGTTGGATTCTGAGAAGAATGACAAGTCATATGCAAAGCAAAGCTGGGACACGAGAATACGAACTCCTCAATGAGACAAAAGTGGATGGCCAGAATTCAGAATGCGTGTGAGTATAAGTATATGTGTGTGTGAAAATTTAAAAAAGCACAAGTCAAAAAGGCTTTTTGACATGAAGACACACAGAAAACAATAAGTTAAATAAAAAAAGTTGAGAGAGAGAGAGAGATAATGACTTCAATGATACATGTGCATCAGAAGAGAACAGAAGAGCACAAGTTGATGAAGGTAAAGGAAGAAGAAAAGAAAACAACCACCAATATGGGTTCTGGTTTGGTTGTGGAGGACAGAGAGCAGGGGGGGAGTAAAAAGGGAATGGCCTTTGATTTGATGGATCATGGGATCGTCATCTATCACATTAACTGTTTCACTTGTTTTTTCTTCAGTGTTTTTGGACCTTACTCTCATTTCTATATGTCAATCCTTTCATTCTTTTGCTACTCTTTGCCAAGTGCTAATGACTCTGTCCTTTGTTTAATCTGGTTATGTCTCAAGCTCTAGGTTCTGCCACTGTAATTTTCATCTTTTATTGCAAGTAGGCATTTTTGCTTGTTTCGTGCTTGAATATGATCAGGAACAATAAATTATCTGAATTTTTAATGGGTTATTTTTTAGTTTTGAAAACAATGTTAGTGTAAAAAAATATAAAATTGTTAATAAATCATGATTCCAACCGTAAGAAAAAAAATTCAAATCATAATGGTGTGGACTGTATATGCACGTATCTTCCAAGATCTTGTCTATTTCTATAGAGACATATTGTAATTAATGCAAATGCAAAGAATTTATTGTAATTATTTTAAAATAACAGTAAAAATATATAACAAAAATTGAAAAATGTTTATTTTTCTTCAAACATGTCAAATGCAAAGAATATGATGTCTGTCCTTTTAAAACTGCGCAAATATAATGTAGTAGTTTCCAAAGGAATTAATTAATTACCATTTACAAGAGGACTGAGTCCCTTTCTATCTGAACCAGAATGGAATTCAGGTTTATATGATCCATATTTTTAATGTATGAAAAGTTCAAATCAACAAATGTTAATATATTCATATTCTTCCGCTAAATTAACCCAATAATCTTTACAATATCAAAATTTTGTCCAAACCAAAACAATGGCATTAAAAACTAACAAGATATCCAGTGAAGTGCGAATATCAATTATTAGTTTTTTTTTTAAATTTTTTTTTACATTATTGTCTTGCAAAATGGGAATAGCCGAATAGGTGGAAGAAATTGTAACTAACCCAGAGATTACAGGAGAGAATTTGGGGTGACTGAGGGTTCATTTAAGGTGGTGAGAGAAAAACACAGCAAATCCGTTATGTTTTCTCTCTCTCTCACTCTCTCTCTCTCTCTCTCTCTGTGTCTGTCTCTCTCTGTGCGCGGCCACAATCCCCACCACCATCTCTGCCCATGGAATTTTAGCATCCCAATGTGACTCCACAGGAAAAAGTAGACATTGCAGCCATGTCTGCGGGTCTTCTTTGAAACCCCTCAACCCACCTTTTTTCTCTCTTCACTTGCCACCTTCCTTTACTGCTCTATAATCATCGTCAGAGTCTCGCCATTCTGGTAAAATGGGTTTCATGGGAAACTTGGAATGGGGCAATTACTTCGGCAAGAAGCGATGCAAGAGCCTGTTCTGGAGACTGAGAGCCAAGCTCAAGAAGGCTCTTAACCATGGGGCTACCCACAAGAAGCAGCTCAGGTTTCAGTATGATCCTTCCAGTTATGCTCTTAACTTCGATGATGGCTGTTTCACCACAATATTGAAGACGGAACCAAGAAGAGAACTTTCAGGAACGTACAAGTCCTGGGATTTTACACTGATGTCAACAACACCACTACCTGGGTTTGTGTCGTTTGGGACCTATTTTAGAGTTCTAAAGCTGTAAAAGCCCACCCCCATCTTTTTCTTTTTCTTCTACTTTCTCTTTTTCTGCTTTTCCATTTCCACTCTGTATTTTCCCCACCTTGGCAAAAAAGAACGATAGGACTTGACCATTATTCAAGCATTTTGCTCCCAGTCAAGTACTTCTTCATTGCATTCCTTTTCTTCTTGAGGCCGCATCACCAGGTAAAGACGCAGAATAATAATAGCTTGGGCTATTGTGCTCTTTCCAGTATCCCGTGGTTTCCTAATCACAATGTTAGGTCTGCTCTTCACCATGTGATTTCATTAATGAGGCTAACGAACAAAACCAATACATCTAATAGTAATAGTACGCTTATTCGTTTATTTATAATTTATAATTAATACTTGCTTAGGTATTTACATAACCTAACAATCTAGTACTGTATCAGTGTGATCTGACTTGTTTTGGTTGATGATAATGAAATGAAAAGGTGGGAATCGCCTCAAGGCTTCATTTATTAGGCTCTCAAAAGACATTAATACGCAACAGAAACTCTCAACAATCCCCAACGTCAAGGAAAAATCAATTTGATGTATAACAATCTTTTGTACAACCGTACAACACCACTGAAGCGGCTATCTAATGAGAAACAGGGCACCCAATTTTAGCAGCGCCACGTTTGGATTAAAGTACAATCATAGCTTTTTCGCGCCCATGGCTTTACCATTTTCACCTAAACTAAAACCCAAATGCTTCAAACTGCAATTGCAAGGTCACAAGCATTCAAACAGCAGGGTCTTCTAAAGTGGCAGTGGATAGATCCTTCATGCGAGGGTAAGCAGCTTTCTCATCCAGCTGGTTTTGAGCCCACATCAGCATCTTCAACACGCTTGGAAGTTTAGGATCTAATGTAACCAAATCAAACAAAATGTTACAATATTCCGAAAATTGTTCCACAAAATAATATTACAAAATTAGGGATACGGAGTTGAAGTTGTGTTAAACTTGAGAAGCAATCCATTTTCGGTTAAATATAGTCTATGCACATGCTAATGCTTAAGCAAATCTTGCAGTTAGCCCAATAGGAAAGCACAACTTGAACCCATTATTTGAACCACATGTACACTTGCTGCATTTGAACCCATTATTTTACCTTCACAATTGTTGTGATCATTTGTAAACTCGAGTTTAAATCCATCTTAATGGAATTAAATCATCACAACTTCATTGTGCACAAGCACGCACTAACTTAATATAAGATTACTGGGGCAAATTTGGCGTTGTTCAATTATCTCCTCACATTCAATAACAACAGTTTGCTATTTTAGTCACTAAAAAGTGATCGGAATTCTGGATCAGAATACATGTAATTTACACATGGTGTAAGGCAAACCAAGTGTACTAAGCATTGGATCTGAAGGCAAATCTTTTTCGTGACTCTGGCTTGCAAGTATTGCCTCATTCACCTCACTTGCTGTCTTTAGACGCTGTGATATGTCAAGAAGCTCTCCAACAGGACAGTTAGAAACATCTTCAAAGGCAAAAAGTGCCAGTCTTTTCCAACTCTTCCAAAAGGCTTTGCTGACAGGAATCAAAATTGTAGGCAAGTATAGGCATCAAGTCCACGCAACTCATTGTACAGCATTTACCCCCAAAAAAATACAGTTAGACTTGTTTCCAAATATCAGGCAAACAAAGTAAATAAACAGTGCAATAAATCTAGAGCTGTAAAAAAAAAAAAAGCTAATCTTTCAAGGCTGGTCCATTCATCCCCAAAAGATCAATAGGGCCAGGCTAATGAATGACATCATTTCAAAATAGGCTTATTCTGGCCTGGTCCCATTCGGCCCCAAACAGGGTCCAGGTCTTTAGTGCCAAACAATGCTTACCCTTTTGCAAAAATTCATAATTTAGTTGAAGCTGAAAAAAGGAAAGAAATAAACCATTTCATTGATAGTACTAAAAATTAAAAACCACTGATTGAACAAAAGAAACCAAAAAGATAAAATAGATTCCAATCACATTTTCCTCTCCACTTGGTGCAAGCTCCTCTAGAGCAAATTCTAAAGCCTCCTCAACTCTTCCATTCCTAATTAGTTCTATCAGCCATTGCTGTTGGAGGTGGAAAAACAACTGGGGATTTGCATCCAGTATCTGCACAGAAATAGAAGGTGCATGTTCAGCTCGAAGGACTGTCTATAATAACACGCAGAGAGGCATAAAACCATCAGGATAACAACACTGATGAATGCACGTCTTTATGAGTACAAAAATGTCCCTTTTACATTATAGCTCCCATGATTTGAAGAGGAAGATAAACAACTTAGAAGAAGGTATAAAATCATTTCTCAGCAAGAAAAGTAGAAATGACAAATCCAAACTTAAAAACAGCTTGTTAAACTCAATGGAAATTTCAGCTGATCGAGAACATGCACTACAGCTCTGCCAATATGTACGAAACCATACGAGAAATCCCAGGCAAGCCCACTACACGTGTTGCCATGCAGCTTTATGAAAATATCCTCAAGAGATGCACTCAACAATATTTTATCTGGATTTAGTCATACTCTTACTTCAAGACCAACTTATTCCTTTAAGGAGCCACAGTTATAATCAGGCCACTGTTTATGCTCGGAAATCAATGCCTGTTTACAAGATATGGTAAATTTAACTTATAAAATAGATATTTCAAAGCAATATATATACCTTTTTCCTTTATTAAGAAAAAGGGTATTTACAGGAGAAACAAATATAACAAAAACAAATTGTTGCCTTAAGCTTGAATTTATTTTTGTTTGTTCATCTCTCTCCCTGCCCCTCTCACATACACTGAGTCACTCTCTTAACACATACCAAATCACCAGATAACAAGAAGACAGTGCTAGGAGCTACATGGTCCATGAAGAAATGGCAGCCTACCTCTGGATTCAAATCATTTACTTTCTCAATTGCATCCTCCACATTACCACTTTGCACGGCCTTCTTCACAGCCATGCGATCAGTAATGGTTGCAAGGTCTATATCTGCTATATGTCTATAAGGAGAATGACAGCAGAATATTGAAGGCAGCCTAATTCCAAGGGAATAATATAAAAACCTGAATGAGGACGAGAAAATACATTTATTCAAGGATACGTTCAGTTCCAGACTCGATTTGGAATTTCTCAGCAGCTTCCACATAGCCCTCCGTGACAAGGAAATTCATCACCAATTTATTCATGTCTTCTTTCCTAATCTTCACGTCATTAAGTTTCTTCTCCCACTCCACTCTTGTTGTTACTTTCTTTGAGGCAGCCTGTGCGTAAATAAGTTTTTTTTTTTTATTTTCTTCAAAAAGCACATTAATATAACATCAAATTGTGGACTCCAGTGCAGTTGCATGCCTTGTTAGCAATTAGTCCAGATATAACAGCAGGAAGACTGAAAGTAACTCCACAAAGAACAGCATTTCTTGCCTGTCACTTTGTTGTCTAATATAGTAACAAGCAAGGGAAGATTTACAATATCAAAGATACAAAATCCACCACCTTCTGCCTGTTTCAGCAAAATCAAGAACCTAACAACTAGTCATCAGCAACTCTATCAATGCATCTCTTCAACTTATTCGAGGTGACTTTCAATTCGTAAAAGAAATTAACATACAAAATAGATGAAGTCTAAACTACCTATCTTTCTGAATTTATTTACAGAATGTAACAAGTACACAACATCATCTGCAGTTATTCGACGTGATCACGGAATTCTTCCGTGCCAAACCCAGTATCTCAAACGAGCGAATGCATACTAAAATACCCGTAGCAGTTAGCACCGTTTTATCAAAACAATAAATTGAATTGAATACGGATTATAATAATGCAAAATAAGGGGATAAAAAAATACCATTCCCTTAGATGCTGCCACCCGATGAAACAAAACCCAGAGCGGTGACATCAGCGCAACTGCTTGAGGCCCATCGAATCTCGAACTGATCTCACATCAATTCCGGAAGGAGAACAAGTTGCAGTTCGCAAATCTAGAATATGACTGCATCAATTATTCGAAATTCAAAACTGTTACATTTCGAAAATTGCATCGTTCTTATTGATCAAACACATATACTCAACAAACACAGGGCAACATCCTAATTACAAAAAGGGGAGGGGGGAAGCAGCAAGCGATCCACAAAGTAAAAAGGTAGAGTTAAATTTACCGCAAAATATGTTACAGGAGATTCTTGTTATTAATTTTTGGGGAAGTGGAGATTGGAAAAAGGTGACTTGACAAGGACTGAGTAGCAGTAAACTGGGAACAACTAGGTAGATTTCGGAGCACGAGGATCGAAGATCCCTTTTCTTCAAAATGATTCGTGACTTGTGTTTCCAGGTAGTATTTGGAATTTGATTTAGATTCCGCTTCTTTCTTCACGTCTTCACTTGACCATGCCAGGTTGGACATTAGTGAGTAGTGCTATTAATTTAATCTCAACCCTGTGGACATTCAAAGGCAAGCATGTTTGGGTCCACCCTCTTTCTTCTTTTACCTTTTCCATCTTAGAGAAGCAAGTAAAAACCATAAGTTTCATTCCTCCTGATGGAAACTACTTTAGGAAAGCATTTCAACCATACTTGCATGATTGCCAATTCAAAGATGCATATGGTTAGTCTGAGGGAACTTGGCAGGATACAAGCACAATGTCACAGGGCTAGTCTTTCGACCCGTGCGGCACTTAGACAATTTTCACTGGAAGTTGCTAAGTAAGCCTAACTCGTATGAAACGAGGATGCTTGGCTAAAAAGAGGAAAGGGAAAGCTTGAAGGCAAAGGAGAGTAGAGAGAGTTTGGAGAATGTGAGAGTTCTATAGCTTTGAAAACTCAAGGATGATTTACAAATGAGGAGGGGTGAGGTATTTATAGGCCTCCCCTTGAATCTAGAATGTTCCCACCTCCTTAATGGACGGTGGAGATTAAATCTATCTTATGGTTACAATTGATTCTCTAGAATTCTCTTAACAAATATCTAGATATTTTAATGAAAGAATCTAGAGACAATATTAAAATATTGAGGCTAGAGTTGTGTAGGCTTCTCTAGAATGTTCTTGCACTCTCTAGCACTCTTAAGGTTAGTTGGGAACCCTGGAGCATTCTTGGAGCATTCCGGACCTCTTTAACCTTGTGAAAAATGACGAAACGTGACAACAAGGAGGGAATGGTTTTAGTTTTAATCATTCTTATGCTCTAAGTAAAAGCCCTTACAGCAAAGCAGACATGGCGAACTACTTAAGTCAAGCCCTAATGCTATGTTGTCAAGTGATAATGCTACCTTTTTACGGGCATGAGATCTTTCGAACTCTATACTCACATGTGAATGCATGAGTTTTTAATATAAATTGATTTTTTTATATATAAAAAAGGTAGAGCTTTAGGATTGTAGAAAAGACAGTTCTGCTGTTGAGTCCCATTTTCATAGTATTTGAACAGTCAAGATTTACTTATTTTATTTTATATTTATTAAAATAAAAATAATAAATTTTAATAAATCTATTCTATTATTAATTTGGACAATATATGTTTAATTTAAATAATCTAATTTAATATTAAATATTTTTATATTTTTTATAAACTGATTATCTAAATATATTATGTACAGTTTAAATTTAAAATTTTTAATTTATAATTTTTTTTATTTTTTAAAGAGACAGTATAAAGATTATCTTTATTTTTATCTTTTAATATTATATTTACTAAAAAAAAATTTATAAATATTATAAAAAAGTTTAATATAAATTTAGACTAAACAACTACATCAAGTTAATCAATTTATGAAAATTATAAAAAATATAATATTAAATTAGATCATTCAAATTAAATTTGTATGTTCAAATTGATAATAAGATAAAATTTATAATTTTTCATAATGAATATAAAATAAAAATCTAAAAATAAAATATCAAAAACTGAATCGCCTGAAGTAAAAATTACAGTACTTATTATAATTACCAAGAAAGCATGGAACTGAAGCTTATGCATCGGACATTAGAAAATATAAATATAAAACATAAAAATATGTATGAAATTTATTTCTCTTTAATACTCTTGCTTCACTTTTACTGATTAAGATAAAGACTAGAGATAAAACATAAACATTTATTATTGATATTTCAATAAACTCATCTTTTTTAAGTATCTACCACTGACGCAGTAATTTGTCTTTGATGATTGAGCCGACCAAAGAATCCCTCTTTCGTTTCTTTCCATCATATTGGAAAATGCAAGTTCTTTGGTCCAACAAGAGAAAAAAATAAACGAAAGATATCATCAGCTTAAGGCTAGTTTCATTAAGATGGATATTAATACGCAACAGAATTCCTCATTGGTCGCCAACTTTAAGGAAAGAATTAATCAATGTATGGGCAATCTTTTGTACAAGGGTATAAACCCATCGTAACAGCTATCTATAAGAAACCAGACACCGATTTTTAGCAGATCGATCTTTGAATAAAAGTACATACATCATTTTTCAAGCCAGTGACCTCACCATTTCCATCTAGAACCTAAGCACTCCAAGCAGTGATTGCAAGGTCACAAGCGTTCAAACTGCAGGGTCTTCTAACGTAGCCGTGGATAGATCCTTTATGCGAGGATATGCAGCTTTCTCATCCAGCTGGTTTTGAGCCCATATCAGCATCTTCAACAGGCTTGGAAGTTTAGGATCTAACGTAACCATATAAACCAAATGTCACTACAATATTCCAAAATTTGTTCCCCAAAATAATACACAATCGCAGTTGAACTTGCGTAACACCAGAAATAATCCCTCTCCAACAAAGCATAATCAAGATACATGCCACAGGAGGATAAACCATGATTCAAATGGCATAATGCTTCAATTTATTTACAGAAAATAACACATCATGTTATAGCAAAAGTAAAATTATCATTCACAGAAAAAATTAAATTAGATCTCACTGCCAGGTGGGATTTAGTAAGATTCTTCTTGTCAAGTGGATGCCACTTGCCAATTATTAGAAAAAATTAGTGATACATGATCCATTGCAAACAATTATAGTCCAGTCTTATCTTCAAATATCACATACAAACATTATTTGACATCCAGATGAGGAGGGAAACCACCAAGTTATCATGAATGAATGATACTGGTAAATAAGCACTTAACGGTCTGTTGGGTTGCATGCATCAACATATGATGTGATGCAAAAGTTTGGTTGTTCCTTTTTAGTGAGTAGTAGCATCCAGTTTCCATTCAAAAAAAAAAAAAAAAACGATTGGTTGTATTTGTATGCGATCAGTTTACATCGTAAAGTATAGGGATTCTAATCACTTTGCCCATTGTCTAGCTAATTATGGACACAATATTTCAAAGATTTTTGTACCTTTGCATAAGCCATCTTTCTTAGAAGATGGAGAATGGTAAAAGAATTCTTGTAATTTGCTTGTATTTGTTCCTCTTTAGTGAATACCAGTATCCAGTTTTCTTTCAAAATAAAAATAAAAATGGTCGTGTTTTTATATGTTGAGATTACTTAAGATTGTAAAACTTGATTCCTCAAATCCCGTAATGCTTTTTAAATTTTACCCAAAATTCGGATACAAGATGATCACATCAATGTAATCCTTGCCAAAAGACTCCTTCCCACCACTGGTTACCGCCCTTCATTACCGCCATCCATCTTGAGGGGCATTTTAGCATTTTAATATTATTTTGTTTAATATAAACATAAAAATAAAATAGTTTACACGACTTTGGTAAACAAAATTAGATAATAACCATTATATTACATTCATTTACATTGACCTCCTAGCCAAATCAACCTTAAGTCATTATCTCCATATTCCCTTAAAATTTAGGTTTGCGAAACTGCGCAAACACATGGAAGTGATTGTAGCCAACCAAACTTTTTAAAACTAAACATTGAATCAAACTTATGGCCAAAAACAGAGATTAACGCAACAAACACATACCTTTTTCGTGACTCTGGCTTGTAAGTATGGCTGCATTCACTTCACTTGCTGTCTTTAGACGTTGAGATATGTCAAGAAGCTCTCCAACAGGACAGTTTGAGACATCTTCAAAGGCAAGAAGTGCTACAGTCCTCTCTAGCTCTTCCAAAAAGGTTTGCTGACAAGAATCAAAACGTTGGGCAAGCATAAGCATCAAGTTAATTAAACTGATTAACATGAAACGGAATTTTCCACAATCATAAAAATATTTAACATTTAGCATTATTTTCAATAGGCAAAGAAAGTAAATTATCAGTGCAATAATTCAGTGTTAAATGTGAAACCAAACAAAAAGTCAATGGATGAACTTTACATTCTCCTCCCCCCTTGGTGCAAGTTCCTCCTGAGCAAATTCCAAAGCTTCCTCTACTTTTCCATTCCTTATTAGCTCTATCAGTCGTTGCTGTTGGAGATGGAAAAACAATTGGGGGTTTGTATCCAGTATCTGCACAGAATTACATATCCAGAGTCAGTTTAGAAAAATTGCCCAAACATCAAAAGATGCATAAGACCATCATGAACAGTATTTTCATGAATGGATGCTGCGATAAATATAAAATCCTTTTCCAAGACACTCCAAGCATTTTCTTTTTCAAAAATGAGAATAACTAAAGAAAATGTAAAAATGTTTCGTAGCAAGAAAAAATTATATAACAAAAGGCAAATCCAAACAGGAAAACAGCAAGTTAAAATCATATTAGAACCTAGGTTGAATAAGAAAAACAGCTACAGCTCTGTATACATGTACAAATTATAAGAGACAACCCATGCCCACCCCTCATTTTAATACCTATATTGCTATGCAACTTGTTGAATTTGAAAACCTAGAAACATCCCAAATAGATTCCCTCAAGAATTATTTAACTCGCTCTTGCACTTTTACAATGGCTAAATTGTCATGGAGCTGTCCATTATTCTTCCCTTAAAACCAGCAGGTAACGTCATATTCTGACATTTGGGACACTATTATGCTCAGAAATTTCTTCCTTCAAACCCCCCCTCTCTCACACACTGACAGAATCAGCCAGAACCCAAAAAGAGAGCAACTGGAGCAACATGGCACATAAAAAAAAATGGCAGCTTACCTCTGGATTCAAGTCATTTACTTTCTCGATTGCATCCTCCACATTACCACTTTGCACAGCCTTCTTAACAGCCATGCGATCAGTAATGGTTGCAAGATCTATATCTGCTAAATATCTATAAGGAGAACGAACGTAGAATATTGGAGACAGCATGGTTCTGAGTGAATAAAATGAGAATTTGAAAGTGCATGAGGGAAAAAAACAGTTATTTAAGGATACGTTCAGTTCCAGATTCCATTCGGAATTTTTCAGCAGCTTCAACATAACCCTCCGTAACCAGAAAATTCATTACCAATTTATTCATGTCTTCTTTCCTAATCTTCACATCATTAAGTTTCTTCTCCCACTCTTCTCTTGTTATCACTTTCTTTGATGTAGCCTGAGCATAATAAGTTTTTCTTATTAAAAAAAGCACAATAACATTACAAATTGTTGACTCAAGGAAGGTTTCATGCAATATGCCTATAGGTCGGCAATTAGTTAAAGTATTATACTTTCAGCAGAAAGACTGAATGCGATTCCAAAAGAAAACATCATCCTACGTTCTATCATTTTGTTGTCTAGCATAGGAACAAGCAAGGACAGAATCGTAGTATCATAAATCTCAAATCCATCAGCCTCCGCCTGTTTTGTCAAAAAGATAAAAAACCAAAATGAAGCTAGTGATCCACAACTCCAAAAATTTATCTCCGATTTATTTGAGGCAACTTCCATTTCATGGGAGATATCGGCACCCATACACATGGACGAAGACATTTGGGTAACTCTCAAAAGTACATTCAAACCACGTCTGAGATATGCTATTGCCAAATCCAACAAATAGTTGGATCTCCTAAATGTGATTTTGTCTGACGTAAACTAAAAATCAAACACACTAAGTCTAGAGCCTAAACTTCTTTCTATAGCTATAACATGACCTCTACAGCTGTTCGACCTGATGATAGAATTCTTTCGAACCATATCAATATCTCAAATGAGATCATATATAAATGAATGAACCATGGAATGATATAAATTAAATTAAGGGTGGAAAATGAAATACCATTGCCTCAGATTCAGCAAGCTGACGAATCACAACCCAGAACAGTGACATCAGCTCACTGCTTAATACCCATCGAATCCCAAACTGATCTCTGCAAATCCGAGGGAATGGCAAGTTGCAGTTCGTAAATCAATAATAGGATAGCATCAATAATTCGAAATCATAATTATTACATTACCAAAAAATGGCATCCTTCCGATTATTCAAACACCTATACCAACCGAATCCAGCCAAAAACCCTAATTACAAAAGGGGAAAAACTCAGCAAGAGATCCACGAGCAAAGAAGCAGAGCGGAGTTTACCGTAATATATTTGCCGGGAGATCCTGGCGAATATTTTCCCCGGAAGTAGCACCAGTAATGGTGTCTTGACTTGCACTGCTAACAGCAACTGCGCAAAACCACGGTTCGGTGCAGAGTGTTCCGGCGATCTCCTCAGGTTCGTACGGAATGCAATCTTGAGTCCTTGACTTCTGCTATCGGGTGATTTCTGGAGCTCGGTTCGGCTACAACTCGCGCCTCTGCGGGTTCGCTCTCCAGGCCGGGACAAGGGCTCATCTACATTGAGGCCCAGCCCAATAGTAATAAAACAAGTATAACTTTTTCCCATCATTTTGAAGGGAAAATCAACAAAAAACCATACAAGGACGGTTATAGCAATTTGACTCGTCGGATTAGAAATTTCAATAAAAATCAGGGCTCTTGATTGTAATTAAAAATTTTCCCACTACACAAGATCTCCTTGCCAGAGCACTCATCGCTAGGCCGCTAGCAGCCATGTGTCAGCCATTGATGATCGGATTTATGCCATCGGTGGTGGAAAAACTTGCCGGCAGCAATCCATTATTTTGGACAGGTGATTTTGTTTTAAAAAAATTGGTCTTGACCATTGAAAATTTCTGAAGATAAATTTGAAATTGGCCTTCAGAATTTAATGCTAAAAAACTTTAAAGTTGCTTTTGAATGGGCAAATTTAAATTGAGAATTTAGTCTTAAAATCTCATATTTAAAATTTATAGTTTTTAAATTTTTTAAATGATATAAAAAATTTTAAATTATATTATTAAAATCCTTTGTTTGGATCTTACATAAAATTTTAAATTCTATATTTAAATTTAAAAGTAACTCAGAACAACGTTAGTGCTCCAATGCTAGTTAAAGTCGACGGTCTAGATGGCCGACTTTCACTAGGACGATATGGTGATGCCTGCTGGGATTGAATGGTAGCCTTCCATCGAGACCTATTGCCCACGACAACTAGAATCAAATAGCCAACTTCCATCACCAGGAAAGGACTGTCGGCATCAATCGGGATCAAAATACAAGCTAAGATGGAGACCAGACAGCTGATTTTCATTGAGACTGGATTGCCGGTGCCAACTAGTCTTTTGTCTTAAACCTATCTAATCCCAGTTGGCACTGGTGGTCTTGTCTTGGTTGGCGCTGGTGATCCTGTCTCAATTGATGCCATAGGTCTTGTCTCAGTTAGTGCTTGAGGTTCAACCTCAGTGGAAGTTGGCCGTTTGGTCCCCATTTTCACCTACACTCCAATCTTGGTCAACACCAACAGTTTGGTATGGTCTTGGTCAAGGTCACCAATCTTGTCTTATTGAAGTCGTCGGTCTGAGTCATAGTGGGATTCAATTGTTCGACCTTAGTTGCAGGCGATTGTCTAGTCTCGGTCGGTGCTGACAGTCCTATCCCGGTTGGTATTGGCAGTTTGGTTGCTATCAAGTTGGCCATATGGTCCTAGTTGTCACTTGTACTTTGATCCTAGTTGGAGTTGGCAGTCCAATCCCGATGAAAAATCAATCGTTTGGTCTCCATCATCATCTGCACTCTAGTCCTGGTCATTGCCTATAGTTCGATCTTGGTGGAAGTTGGTTGTTCGGTTCTAGTTGATGTTAGCAGTTTGATCTTGATGGAAGTTAGCCGTTCGGTCCAAATTGGTGGTAGCTTAATTTTGGTCGTAGTTGGCAATCTAGTTTTGTTTGGCATCGCCAATGAGCTAGTCAAATGACAAAGAAATTGAGATAGAATTTGAAATAATAGAGAGTTTAAAAAGAATTTTAAATTTCCAAGAGACTAAGGTAGAACTAGGATTTAGATTTGGGTTAAATCCAAATCCATACATTTTTAATTATCCAAATAATGAATTTGGCTCAAATCCAAATCCAAAATTAAATCTCTATGCTTCCCAACTTAGCTTACTTAGAAATTAACATATTTTAAGCATGGATTAAATTGTTGATGAAAAAAGTATGGAATAAACTAGTGGTAACTAAAAATAAAATTGCTCTGCTATTAAAAGAGAAAAAAGGTTGCTCACCTTTTTTCTGAGTAACATTAAATCTTCTTAATAGTGGAATTAAATAAAATCTATACCAATGTAAAAGTTGCTTTAAAGATTTATTTTGTTTTTTAATAATTAGCTCCCTACTGTTGAAGATATTTGAAATGGATGCAAAATTTCTTAATTGTATTAATGAAAAACTTTAAGATTGTATTTGGATGAGTAGATTTAAGTTGAGAATTTAAATTTAAAATATCATATTTGAAATCTTACATTTGAAATTCATAGATTCTAAATTTTTTATTTGGATAATATAAAAAATTTCAAATTGCAATATTAAAATTCTTTGTTTGAATCTAAAGTAATTTTTAAATGTTAAATTCTATATTTTAATTTAAAATAAATTTGGAAGATTAGTCAAACTTGACGATTTAAATGGCCAACTTCTAATGGGATTAGACAAAAGAAAGTCGATTAGGACTATAGCACTGGTGACTATTAGGATCGGACTATTGCAAAGACAGGGATGGGATGGCCGACTTCCACCAAGATATGACTGACGACGACGATGGAAATTGGACGGCCGACTTCCACTGGGATCGGACCGATGGCTATAATGGGGCCGAGACAATGACTACCACCAAGACCGGACCTGTGGTGATGATGAGGATCGATGGTCGACTTTCATCGGGACCAGATCGATAGCTACAATAGGCACCATTTGGCTAACTTCCATCCATATCGAACTGACATTGATGACGCAAACCGGACGACCGACTTCCACCGGGACTAGTCTAACTATGACAATGGGGACTGGATGATCGACTTTTATCGATACTGGATTGACATCGATGATGAGGATCGCACGGCTGACTTTCACTGGGATTGGACGGTAGGCTTTGATCGGTATTAGACTGACACCAATGATGGGGACCGCATTGCTGACTTCCACCGGGATTAGACCGACTATGACAATAGGGACTAGACAGCCAACTTAAACTAATAATGGATCAGATCGATGATGACAGGGATCAAACGGTCAACTTCCATCAACATCGGGCCAGATTGACGGTGATGGTGACCAGACTGAAGGGATGATGACGGAAGGCGATTGTCTGATCCTCACTAAGTGAAAGTTGGACTGTCGGTCCTCATCATCCCTGTAGGTTCGATCCCAATAGAAGTTGGCTATTTGGTCCCTATTGTCACTGTTGGTTCGATCCCGGTGAAAGTCAGCTGTCACATCTTAATCGTCGTTGTTGGTTTCGGTGGAAGTCGGCTGTCCCATTTTGGTCAACAGTTGCAATTTGTTTTTGTCAACTTTGGTGATTTAGTCTAATTACAGTTGGCAAGTTGATTAAGCCTTCATTCATTTGGGTCAAAACACAAAAGAGCTTGAGTTAGGATTTGAAATAATAAGAGTTTAGAAATAATTTTAAATTACAAAGAGATTAAAGAAGAACTTAGATCAAATCCAAATCCATACATTTTTAATTATTCAAATAATAGATTTGGCTCGAATTAAAATTAAAATCTAAATTCAAATTCATGTGTATCCAAACATAGCATAAGGTAATGCTTACATTGATGGATTTGAATTTAAATTTTAAATTTTAAAATATACTCTGTATTTAAAATATATGTATTTGGATGGCGTAAAAATTTTTAAAGATAAAATAGAGAAGAGTTGATAATCCAAATAAAAATAAAAAAATTAAGCATAATGGGCTTGTTTATATTTTTAAATTGCATGAGGGACCAAGATGAGGGATAAGAGAAGAGGTGAGATTAACAAAGGCAATAATAATAAAAATGCACAAAACAAAAAAAGAGAGGATCAAAATAGTAGAAATTTCAAATAATTAGAATTTAAAAAAATTTAATTACAAATAAATTATAGGTTTAAATTTATTTTGAAGCAAAATCCATTGGTATATATATATATCTAGATATGAGAGTTGATTCAAATTCAAATTTCTATATATCCAAAAGTAATCTGGTTACATTTAAAAATTGACCCATTTCATGCGTGATTTTCAGCAGTAGAAAAGAAAAGAATTTTCATATCCCTTTCCTGGAGCTTACAGTATTATTTCCTGTGAGCCAAAGAGACTTCCCACTTACGTCCTCAATTACTCAATTTAATTCTCCTCCTTCCTCCCATAGGGGTAAAATGGTACATGAGAGACAAATTAAATTAAAATGCCCAATAAATCAGGTTTAAAGGCCAATGTGGCGTGGATGGATTTTTAATTGGGAAAATAGTACACAAGAATCGTTAAAGAATATTACTCACAAATAAAAACCAATAAAAAATTAACTATTTTTACAACGAGAGCATAAACTTTTTATTTTCGAAATGATAATTTGTTATTGATTTTTTCCCCTACAAATAATACATTTTAATGGTCGTTGAATGCGATATTCCTTTTTGAACGAGAAAGGTTGCCAAAAATGACAAATACTATTACTAGTACCGACACTGGACGCGTAAATAGTACCGTCACTGGTGCTTTGGCCTTTACTTTCCTTTGTCACAGTGTCCTAAAAAGAAAGCAATTTAAAGCGCTAAAGGCCAATCCGAAAATACACGACGAGGAAAGTTCTCAAGCACTGCTCATAAAGCGCTCCCCTCCAACGAATTCCATTCACTTTCCCAATCACGTTCGCACCCACCGTCACGTCACCCCCCCGTGATTTCCGTGCTCCCCGTTCCTTGTTCCTTTCATTCTCTGTCTTCAACCCTCCCATTTTAGGTTCATCTTCGACTTTCTTCTCGACTACCGAATATGCCTGAGAAGGTGATTTGATATTTTAAAATAAAATTAAATGATATAAAAATATTTTAAAATTTTTTTCCTGACATTTTAAAATTTTTTAAAATATTTTTATCTCAAAAGTTTAAAAAAAAAATTTTTGCCGTATTGTTAAATATGAGAAATATGGATCATTAATTGAAGTTTGACAAGGTATTTCCTCTTTTATTTCTATGTTTTTTATTCTTCATTTTTATTTATTAAAAAAAAGTTAAAAAATTATTAAAGAATGAAATCGGAGGTTAAACAAAAAAAGGAAAGAAGAAAAAAATATTCTTAATCAAACTTTAATTTAATGATCAATATTTATAATTTTTAACAGTAAAATAAAAATGCTTTATTTTTTTTAAAACTTTTAAGACAAAAATGCTCAAAAAAATTTAGGATAAAAAATGTTTTAAGACATTTTTACGTT